CCTGAGCCGAAGTCGGATGCTTAACCGATGGAGCCACCCAGGCGTCCCAGGGAGGGCACTTTTTGTGATGAGCATTGGGTGTCGTATGTAAGTGATGAATCACTGAATTCTATTCCTGAAACTAATATTATACTGTATGTTAAGTAGCTGTAATTGAAATAAAAACTTGAATCAAACCATGAAATCTATCACACAAACTTCACAATTCACAAGATGGACTTTCTCCAATACAGTGTGCTTACACATCGTGAACAAAAACATCATGATCAAAATGAAGGAATCATTCCAGATTAAAGGAGTCAATTAAAGAGTGTTTCCCTCTCTCTCTCTCTGCCCCTCCCCAGCCTGCACTCTTGCTCTCAAAAAATATTTAAAAAATTAAAAAAAAAAACAGCACAAATTTAAATATGGACTGTGGCTTAGATAACAGCATATTAACAATGTCATTTTCTGATTTTGACCCTGTGAGTATAGGAGAGAATATCCTTGTTCGTAGAAAATAGACACTGTTTAAAAGAAAAACACAGCCCTAAAACGCTGTCACTTAGGCCAAGTGACCAAACTGGGGCTTAATGCCTAACCTAATTGCAGTTTCAGACTCCCCCAGAAACTCAGAAATTCTCCGATAAGCACCAGCTGAGTAATCTGTCACACAGACCCTCTCCATCCCCGCAAGATGCATAAGATCCCCTGCTCTTCCCTCTAAGGGAAAGTGACCGTGCCCAGAACAATCCTTTGTTTCCACTTGCTAATAACTTCCTTGCCCCACCCTCCTTCCCATAAAAACCTTCCATTCTGTACAACTCCTGGGAGATCCCTCCTACTTGTTTTATGGGATGCCACCCAATTTATGAACCGCTTAATAAAGCCAATGAAGTCTTCACGTTTACTCAGTTGAATTTTTGCTAACAATACAAATATTTAGGGACGAAGAAGTATTTTCTACAGCATAATCCCCAATTCTTGAAAAAAAGATGCGTGAAGGAAAAAAAAAAGGGGGGGCAAGGACAGTTGACAGCTGGCAGCAGCTAGGTGTTGGTGTCTTCAACTCATCATACGTAATTCCAAAAGTATCAGCAATTTTTAGACATAACCACAATGGTGCAGCGAGAAACACAATTTTTTTTTTTTTTTTGCGACAAAAACCAAGGAAAGAGAGGAGGCTCTGAAATGCCACAATTATGTCTCTGTCCCTGAGAAATCATGAGATATTCTGCCCTCCTCCAGACCCCCTACTTTCAGCCAGAAACGGTTTGGGAATGTTAACCTTAAAAATAAAACTGCCAGTTATTTTACTGGAATAGTAGAGAACTGCAATCCAGGACGAGCAGGATATGGCAAAACCACAGGCAAGTCCGCAGAACAAAGGAGAAACCCACTCTTTTACAGAGGAAAGGGAGAAACTGGGCAGGCTGTCATAAACAAAAAACCCATTGGATTAACCGGGACTTGGAAATATGGTGGCTTTTCATTGGCTGAGTTTTGACAATCTTTCACTGGTTGGGCTGATGCGGAGCTGGGGGAGGAAAGCCATTCTGGTTCCCTCTGGGATAGCAACGAAGAGCTACTGTAGTTATCAGCCTGCAAGGTGGTCTCTTCCAATAGGGCCTTCCAATTGGGTCTCTTACAATTGACAAGAGCGACAGGGTGTGAGGGCTCTCCCTGCCAGCCTCGGACGCCATCCTAAAGGAGGTTTTCTCACTAACTTTCACAGGAGTAACTCTTCAGAAGGGGCTGGGGACTATGAAGCTAACGATTGGGATCAAAGAGAAATGACAGGGGTCACTGCAGCTGAAGCTCTCACTCCATCCGATATTCATGGCTTTCAGGTTACTAAGCACTTAAAAAAATTAAAGAGTCTAATACCAAGAGATCCCCATTCACCACGTGGCAGGAACTGTCTTTAAGGCTTTACTTAACCCATTTGTTTAATTCTCAAACCGCTGTATTATAGGAAGGTAGGAAAGTCACCCCAATGTTACAAAAAAAAAAAAAAAAAAATTGGACACAGATGTTAAGTCCCCCAATGTTCAACC